TTGAGCCAAAATATTTGTAAATATCACGAAACTTGTTTAAATTGTATCTACAACATTGTATTAGTATAGTAATATTTCAGAAATGAACTTTATTTGTAACGTGATCAATCACAGCATGTAAGTGAGAGAGGAGTGATATGTAAAAAAAAAGTAACTGGGTTTTTCGAATTGGACATTAGCAAGCCAGTTGTGTAGCACCGTCACCCAGCGGTATGGTCATATGTGATGTAGTTATAATAAGTCAATTTCTTCTACGTACTCAGCAGAACTCTGTCAGTTTGAAAATTTACGCGTGTGTGGTGAACTCAATGTGATTGGATGTTTCAATGATAATTTAAAAATTTTCTGAAAACATTATACAATTAAATATACGCTTCTCCATGGCCACAAACGATACTAATTCACACGAGGAAGAGAGAAATTTTGAAGATTTTGGACTTGATTCCCGCATTCTTCGTGCCCTGTCCAAACTTTCTTTCGTTAAACCAACATTAGTACAATCCCATATTATTCCCTTGGCGCTTTCAGGAAAGGACATACTTGCAAGAGCTCGGACTGGCAGCGGTAAGACAGCTGCATATTCACTGCCTGTAATACAAAAGATATTAAAAGCGAAGGAGGTAATATGAAAAAGAGAAAGAAAAGAAACGAAAAGAAAAGAACATTGAATGACAAATAATTAACAAAATACTAACCAAATAGCTGGCACAATAGAATGCGAATTATGACTCTTCCTCGGCAACGCGGGCTTTGATACTTGTTCCTACCCGTGAACTTGCAGAACAAGTCACCAAACAAGTGAATAAAATGCTGATCTACTGTTCAAAGAAACTAAAGATTGTTAATGTTGCTGGAAATATGCCTGTTCAATTGCAAAAGTGAGCGAGTTTGTTGCAGACGCGATAGACTATACGCCACTCAATACTCAAATTTGTGATCTCTTCAATATACAGGCCAATGTTGGCCGAGAAGCCAGATATAATAGTAACCACGCCAAGTAAAATAGCAGCGCATCTTGAATCACAGGTAAAGGTCGCGTTTATTTTGCTTGTATGGATATGCAGTGGGATTAAGTAAAATTCTCTAACGTAATTTATTTAATGAAAGAATCTCGACATCAGAGATAGTTTGGAAACGCTTGTTATAGATGAAGCAGATCTAATATTATCGTATGGTTATGAAGAAGATTTGCAGAAAATACTTTCATACCTACCGAACGTATATCAGAGTTTTCTAATGAGTGCTACGATGACCAAGGTATGTATTTACAAAAACGTTCTATCCGCGAGGAGATTTCGCTGATTACCCCTGCATAATACTTAGGATGTCGAAAGTCTCAAAAAGTTGATATTGCGGGATCCGGTAAGCATGTTCACAATGCTACTCAACACATCATTAGAAAGCTCAGATCAATTGCTATAACCCATAATTAGGTGATCTTAAATCTAGAAGAAGACAAAGATGAATTGGCTCTTCTAACGCAGTATTGTGTTCGGTAAGATTTTATAATCCTTCGGAACTTTCATGACTTGGTAGGGAAAGTGCTCGCTCGCCTAATATCGCCCATTATTTTCCATGAAAGATGTTCCGAAATCGATAAATTCCTTTTGATCTATGTTATTCTGAAACTCCGCCTCATCAAAGGAAAGTGTATACTGTTTGTCAACGACATAGATCGGTCATATCGATTGAAATTATTTTTGGAGCAGTTCTCAATACGCAGCTGCGTATTGAACTCGGAACTGCCTCTAAACTCGAGGTATCACATTGTGGAAGAATTTAATAAAGGAATATATGACTACATAATTGCAACGGATGAGAACGAGCTCAAGGGAGAAAAAGACGAGGAATATGAAACACTAGAAAATAGTAATAGTGAAGGTAAGATTAGGCGTGTATTCAAACGTCAACTGTATTGAAATCGTGTATCGACAATATCTAATGTTTCAACCGATGTCATAAAAACAAGCCATCTCCAAACCAGCATCAGAAAGTACAAAATCTTCTCGTCGTAAACGCGACATGGAATACGGCGTCTCGCGCGGAATTGACTTTGTCAACGTTTCGGCAGTGATAAACTTTGACTTCCCAACTACCGCAAAATCATACATTCATCGAATAGGTCGCACAGCTCGAGGAGACAAATCAGGAATGAGTTTATCATTTGTTGTTCCAAAAGAGCTTTATGGACAACATAAAGCTGTTAGTTGTCCTACTACAGAACGTGATGAAGAGATCTACGCAAGAGTTGAAAAACAACAAAGAGAGAAAGGTGCTGTGATTAAACCGTATGTGTTTGATATGAAACAGGTTGAGGGATTTAGGTATAGGATGGGAGATGCGTTAAAGGCTGTTACCAAGGCTGCAATCAAGGAAGCGAGACAGAAAGAAGTGAAACAAGAAATATTAAATTCAGAAAGATTAAAGGTGAGACTGAAACATTTCGCATATACTTGTTTTGTACTATTATGCTTATGACAAGTAACATTTTCATTTTGCAACAGTCACATTTCGAAGATAACCCAAATGACTTGAATTTTCTGCGACACGACAAAGTTCTTCATCCAGCACGTATAAGACCACATATGAAACATATTCCGTCATATTTGATGCCAAAAGTAGCTTATTCGTCTGTAAATGAGCAAAGTGAAACTTCGGAGGTCGGTCATGTCTATTTTCGTGGGAGCTCTTCAAATAAACATCGCAAAGGGCGTAAAAGTTATGGACAGGTAAGATATGTTGGCGCAACCGTTATAGATGTTACTGGGATATACTCGATATATGAATTGATTACCTTTTTGTACCAAAATTGATTTGAAATTACAGAGACAGAAGAATGATCCATTGAAAACTTTCAGTGCAGGAAAGTCAAATAGAATAAGAAAACGACAGGTCAGTAAAATAACTTGTTCATCGTATCCAAATTGTTGCTCAATTGACTAAATTTTGTTTTCTTGTAGAAAACTGCATGACGTGAATGATGGCGTATGAAGCGAGATTAATAAATAAAATCCTCTATTTAATACAATTGCCGTTACGTTAGTCTATTTGGTATTGCGTGTAGCCTATATAATGTTTTCATGGCGTTTACAGGTATTAATTATTCTATAATCGATAGCTTTATCTTTGATGATCCATAGTAACATCTGAATTGTTATCAGAAACATTATTGGTACACATCAGCGATAACAAGAATGGCAAAAGAAGACACTGTAAACTCTAGATACAACAACACTCTCACTGGAGGGATTGGAACACATTTGCTTTGGAGATTGGCCGATATTTCAGTATCTGTTATTTGGATGCACGGCTCAACAATTACCATGTAGTTCAATGACAATCATTCTTCCAGTGCTGCAGCAGTTTTTGACTTCAAAAATACTAAGGGATGTTGATTGAGATATTGCCAGATTTCACATCATGCAAAAGCTTTAACAAAAAAACGCATACAACCCCTCGTTCGCGGATAACTACTGGCGACCGCTTTTAATTTCTCCCTGCTAAATTTAATAAGGATTGGGAATCGCAGGTGGAACATAGTTTCATGTCGAGACTGCATTATTGCAGCTATAAAATCTGATATTATCAAATTTGCCAAGGCAATACTATGTAATTAAGAAACGCCGGCTTTCATTTTTAAAAACCCATGTGCCGTTTTACTTTACGATGAGGGGCAATGGCTAACCTACATCCAATACTGAATACAGCTGAATCTGATCTCATGGCCCAACTGATACGGTTGTCAACCCTAACAGCTATCCTATACTTATCATTAGATACGTTAGATTTTGTCTCATCACTAATGAAATTCATATATGATCCAGGAGTTTGGTTAGATAGAGCTGTTTATAAATCCGGTCGTCTCATCTTCATCATCACTATCATGTAATACTCCCCATATGAGGGATCTTGGCTTAGGTTTTTTGAAAAATTTGTTACGCTTGCAAATTTACTAATTTTAGATCCGTCTGTATGGTCATAACCGAGATCTCTCTTCATCACAGTCTGTAATCGTTATTTGATCCTCGGTATGAAGATAATGTATGGTAAATGATATTCCTCTTGCGTAAAAAGGTCCTAAAACAGCTCCGGAACGGTTAACAATCGCCAACACCTTTTCTCGTTCGACATCTAATCGGCACTACTACTAGCGGGGAGAACCTGTCGCGATCGATGTTACCACATTACGATATGAATCCGTGTGTAGACAGACAAATTTAGGGCAATGCTATGTCGATTGTTGGTACGTAAATGCTTCAATAGCCATAAGAGCGACCCTTGGCTCTAATTACTGTGATTAACATCTAGTGAATTGACTAAACTTTATTATTTAAGATTGAGAAAGCAGAGAACCAAGCTCCACTTCCTTATAACAATAGATTAAGTGTTTTTGTACCCCATTCAGTTTATTATAACTGTTATATAGCAATGCGAAAGAAATCAGATAAAATAATCAAGGACATTGAACTTTAGCCTAACACGGTCTGACAACATACCGACTTCTACCCAAGACCAGCAACTACTCCGCGGATACGTCGAGCAAGTTGAATATCTTTCTGCATAAGCGTGACTCTCTTGGCGTGAATTGCACACAGATTGCTAAGGACAACAACAACAATAACAACAACAACAAAGCGAGGAAGAATGCATGAGTTGCGCGATAACCGAAAAGTCTAAAGATGAAAATTTTTCCGATCGTAATACTTACGCATCCTCGAACAGATGTACCAGAAATGCTTCTGCAGATTCCTGTAAGGCCAGTAAAGCAGCACTTTGCCACCTTAGGCCGACGTCACCTTCAGTGATGAATTCTTGAGAAATTTCGCGTACCTGAACATGGAATGATGTAACAAATATCGCAATAAGATTTCACGTATTCTCCGCGCACGACCATAGATACAGTACAAAAAAAGTTTACAACTTACCACCCGCGCAAAAGGCAGCTTTCGAAGGAGTAAATCCGTGGTCTTTTGATAATGTCGTATTTCTCTAAGAGCTAACGTGCCAGGCCGATATCGCCTTTTGCCTCTTCCAGGGTTTATGGGATCCCCGACTAGCAAAAATCAAAGAATACGACTTGCGTTAGAATTAATGCGAGCTTTTCTCAAAGCTGGTTCACACTATCGGCGGTATGTGGGTATTACCTCTCTGCCTTGTCGAACTAGGTGACGATAACGGTCGTAGTCTTTTTGATGCTGGAGGTCGTCGTCTTTGGGGTGTTCTTACTCTTGTGGGAGTTGACTGCCGTGAACTGTCACTACCACGTGCCATATATGTTTAATACGTGTTTATAATACTATACACTGATATAATATTGAGTATATTTGGATGTCGTATCTAATTTTTTCGTTTCATCCGACATTCCAACTATCAATGCAACGAAAAAGTTGTTGAGGGTGAATGGAGAGAATAACGCGACAGGGTCCCTTTAAAAGGACCCTCTCGTCGAAGTTTTGTGTCGTTGTACAGTATTGAAGTTTTTATACTAAATACTTGACGCATTTAATGCAGGAACCAAAAATGGTGTTGATGTCACAAGATTTTCAGAATTTGCACCAGTTACTATTGCGGGTGCCCACTTGTCTCACAAAAGAACTGCCAAGATGGGAATTTATTAGAACTGTTACACCAGTTTAAAATTACTTTTTCAAACCCCATAAATCTATCAGATTATTATTACCCTAGAAACTAATACATAGTCAAACTCGATAATAATAAGATAAAGTCACTTTAAGATAATAATAAAGTCACTCTAAGATAAAAAATGGGGTCGTCTAAAGCGGGGGCAACACAAGAAATCAGTCCAATTAAATTTCAAAGATTGGCGAAGTTAACCAATCTAA